GGATTTTTAGTTGAACATGATTGGATGATTAAAATGAGCACAACTTCATTCACTAAGCTAAGAGTAAATTCACTTTGCAAAGGGAAAATGCACTTGAATTCACAGTGAATGGGATGAAACTGTGCTGACATCCTAGGTGCAAGTAAAATTCCTGTTTGTTTTTATTTTTAGGCACGTGATTGGGTATTCTTTGCAAACTTTCGTCCCGTTCATTAAGATAAGTGAAAGTTCATGTGGCAAATTGAAAATCCACTTTGAAAAGAGAACATGCTCTACTCCTTGAATTAACCATAGAATCTCCTCTTTTTGCTTCTACAACTACTTTTTTTACAGGGTAATTCATTTTTACACCCCTTTGTTTTGATGTAGCACCAATGTGCCAAAAACTATCACTTTGCTAAGCAAATGCAGCTACAAACAGAAAAGAGATGAATTACACACCCATTTGTGCTACTGTTGTTACCTTACATAAGTCTGTCCCTTAGATTTAATCAGTGTTTAGCTACTGCATACAAGTGGCTTACATACATCTGCAAAACTGATTTATAGCATGTATGAAGAAATATTATAATATTCAGTAAAGTTTTTTTGCAGACAAACTCTAATAATGAAAGCTGTGGACAATTGAAATGTGTCCTAATTCAAGAAGAGATCTAAGTTTCTGTACGGTCACCAATCAATTCATAGTGAATCAAACATTTAATTTGATTGGTATTTGCAGTGATGTTTTCTAGCTAGATAGGACAAGTTTCTCCTCTCCTTTGCATTACTATTGCCATTGCCTGTCCTTGGAAAGTACTCACAGCTAAGACAATGCTATGAATCAATTGTCACCTTCCTGTTGCAGGAGGTAGAGAGGGGGTGTAGGTTAGTTCACATAACTGGGGTTAAAAAAGCACTTAGAAACATGGAGCAAAGTATTTTATTCCAAGAGACAGAACTGGTAAATAAAAATTCTAATGCTGCATTTTCTTTAAAGTGATACTCAAGCTAAAAATGTTTTAGGAGTCATTGGCTACTGCTGTCATCCAAATGCAGTGAGGAGGAAGTGGGGGGGGCATTGCTAAGTCCCACTGTGTGTGTTTATGGAGTGCAGCTCCATAGACACACAACAAGGAAGCAAGTCGACACCATGTGCCCCCATAGCAAATGGCTTGCTATGGGGACACAGGAAGAAGAGGACAAGTCAAGATTGCTGGTGGAGGATCCGAAAGAGGAGGATCGGGGACGCTCTGTGCAATACCACAGCACAGAGCAGGTTAGTATAACATGTTTGTTATTTTAATTTAAAAAGATGACTTTAGTAATACTTTAAAGTGTATGCATAAAGAAAATAGAATACATTTACATATGCATGAGGACAAAATGGCAGGCTAACTGCACTGACATAACATTGTAACTTTCATATCACATGTGGCCTGCATATTAGTGAATTTTTAAGGACAGCATAGTATAACATAAAACAACTGTTAAGTAAAATGAATGAACTATAAATAAAAAGAAGAAACAAACAATGCAGATAGATTCAGTCTTGGCACAAGGTAATGGTGGTGTAATAATCTATGACAGTATTCTCATTTTCACATGCTTTAGAAATAAGCAGAACTTGTGCAGGACTTTTCTATTCATCAATTTCTGGCTCTTATACCTGTAATTGTTCCAGCTGGAAGAACAGGGCACACTGATATTTGCACAACATAGATGATATAAAGAAAATAAACACAGAAAAGCACAATTGTCTACTGCTGAACATCTACGGAAGCACTTTTTCAATTTTTCTTCAGGGCTAAAAAAAAGAACAATGCATGCCATTTTTAAATGAGCCACTGAGGTCCTCAGTTAAATCATTCTAATCTCTAACCTCTAACTCAGAGATCATAGAGGAACGTGAGAACTTGCGAAGGAGTATCTCTAAAGAAAAATGTTATTTAAGCATTGTTACCTGGGATATATCCTACAGTATATCAAGCAACAATAGTTTTCCTCCCTCTGCACTGCTTATAATTCTGCCACTTATTTTCAAGGATATTGAAGAGGTATTGAAGTATGGATTCAGAGTTCTAAAGGGTATTGAAGAGTAAGGGTTGCAGAGTGCTGGATTCCTTAGTACAATTATTATTATTATTATTATTATTATTATACAGTATTTATAAAGCGCCAATAGTTCGCTCAGCACTGTACATTAAAGGGGGACAGAACAATACCAATACAATGCAAAACATGAGGGAATTGAGGGCCCTGCTCTTTCGAGCTTACAATCTAGGAGGGAGGGGATGGTGGCACAGGAGGAGAAAGCTGTGGGGGATGGAGTGGTAGGAGAGTGGAGGAGGTCGGCAAGTTAGCGGGGGTGGGGTAGGCTTCCCTGAAGAGGTGGGTTTTCAGGGTGCGCCTAAAGGAGAGGAGAGTAGGTGATAATCTGATGAGTTGGGGCAGGGAGTTCCAGAGGATGGGTGACACCCTAGAGAAGTCCTGGAGGTGGGTGTGGGAGGAGGAGACCAGGGAACTAGAGAGAAGGAGGTCTTGTGAGGAGCGGAGTGTGCATGCTGGGCGGTACTTGGATATTAGGTCAGTGATGTAGTTCGGGGGCAGTGTGGTGGACGGCTTTGTACGTCAGTGTTAGGATTTTGAATTTGATCCGTTGCGCAATCGGAAGCCAGTGGAGGGATTGGCAGAGGGGGTGGCGTAAACGGAGTGGTTGGAAAGGTGAATGAGTCTGGCAGCCGTATTCAGGATCGACTGAAGCGGGGATAGCCAGCGGCGAGGCAGGCCAGTGTGGAGGGAGTTGCAGTAGTTGAGTCGTGATATGATGAGGGAGTGGATGAGCTGTTTAGTAGTTTCTGGGGTTAGGAACGTGCATATTTTGGTGATGTTGCTGAGGTGGAGTCTGCACAAGTTTGTTAAAGATTGGACTTGGGGCTGGAAGGATAGGTTTGAGTCCAGAATGACACCAAGTACTCTGGTCTGCGGGGCGGGTTTGATGGTGGCGTTGTTGGACGTGACGGATTCAAATCTCCCTGTCTTCCAGTAAAGGTTGCTATATCAATGCATCAGAAATACTGGTAAGAGCACACCAAACAGAAATCCAGTAATAATAATTCTTCACTGTATCTTAAAAACCCAATGCAGTTTGGGGGTTGTATGGACTTCCATCAGGGTTACAATACAATATACGTATATACCCTGAGTTACCTTAAAGAAGACTTTTCATGAAAATTAATCTGCTTTATTTAATAGCACCCCATACCCAAAATGAAAAACTCCTACAAAAGGGTGCCAAAAATGAGACATAAAAAACAAAACTAATAATACTGAGAACACTATATTTTTTAGCACCTAGATTTTCCAGGAGATGTTTACAGCAACGACACCACTGCCTGAGAAAGTATATTTAAGTAGAGATCAGAGGTAAGCATTTTTTTCTACAATGTTTTATTTTTGGCACCCTTCTGTAACATCTTTTTTATGTGGGGGGCTGTTATTTAGGAGACCTTACATTTCCATGCAAAGTCTACCTGAATATCACCTAATGACACTGATGCTATTGATGTAATGTGTTGGTGCTGATTTTAGTCCTGATTAAGAGGATCCCCTCATAACCTTTGGAAAGCATAACTTTTTAGGGGTTAAAAATTGACTAAATCTAATACTTTTTGGTGTTCGCTTTCCTGTATTTCTGAGCAGTTATTGATAAGGAGGGACCTTTGTGGAAGACTTTGCTGCCAAACAACTTGCGTCAGTCTACAGTTTGACACTCCTCACTGTAATATTATATGAGAAATAAAATTTGACTTTGCAGCATAACAGTGAGGTGCGAATGATAAATGAATTGAAAGCACAGAAAAACGTATTAGAGTACTATATATGTATTTGCAAATGTTCTCAGGGCAGCAATGATATTTGAGGTCAACTTTCTTTTGCACAATGACAAAGTGCAGAATAGGTTTTTGTATAAGATTTTGTAAGGATAATAATGAACATATTACTATTTGTAGCACTCCTCCAAGGAAACGGTGGACAAAATGTGTTTGTGATGTGTTAAATGGTTGTATGTCATGAATATTTATTGACACAATAACTTAGAGAAATTGCGAGATGACACATTTCATGAAAGTAAGCCAATAGACTATGACCATTTACAGACGATGGAATTTCTCGGTAGCTTTCCAGAATTTCATTTGCAGTATTGGAGCTACATAGTCAAATTCATCACATAAGCATTAGAAGAAAAGATAAAAAAATAGTTGGCATACTCCATTTCAGGATATACAATAAATCTTTGTATTTACAAAATTTGCACAGCTAAACTTTATTGCCAGCTTTACCTTAAAGCTAACATTTCAGATTTACATGCTGGCAAGATGAATTGAATGTTTGCCGACAGAATCTTTGAGAAGAAGTTGGTGGGTGAGCCAACCCATCAGTGCCCAATCAGTAAAGAAATTACCTTTTTCTTTGTAAAAATATGAACACATTTTGATAAAACTATGTATACCTAACTGATAACTTTAAAGCATATGGCCTAACATTTGAAGCCCAGCTCCGGGCTGCACTCTAGTCACTCCACCTTCTTTTTCCCCGTCCCACTTTACCGCAAAAGACCAGCGTCTAAATTCTGTGAACTTTTGTTGCTGTATCCTAACATAGTTGTAACCTGAATATACTTTTTCTTTATTTATCAGGAAAGAAAGGTATTTCTTCTGATGGAGAGGTAGTTCTGACTCACATGAAGAAATTAATACATGATCATGACAGTGACCCATTTCGGATCTCAGAGTTTAAATGGAGATGCCTTAGCTCACACAGACACAGCGTCAGACTGTCCATCAGATGTGCCAGTTAAAGAATCCAGCACATGTGGGATGGTGGTGTCTGATCCCCTTCAGCAGTTCAAGAGGCTGTACAAGTTTGAGTCAGAAGATTCTGGAGTTGAGATGCCAAGTGGAGCCAACTCACCCTCTACACCTAAAGGATCAGAGAAGAGTTTTGTGATGCATAGTAGAGATTCCTCCTGTGATTCAGGGGTGCTGAGCGCATCATCTTCACCTACTGTAGGTCACATGGAAATAAATACAGGTACAAATGAAGACGACACCAATAACTTTCTTTCTGATACTGAACACTCTAAGGAGTATAAGGACAATGTCAAAGACAATGCTGAAGACCACGAAAACACCATAGAAGATTTTATTGACTGCCAGGAAGAGGAGGAATTGGATTTGCCACCATGCAGTGATGAAAATGACTGCACAGACAACGCATTGTACTGTACAGCACTCTCATCTGCAATAGAGGAAGATACGAAAGCTGTGGATGACTTTTACAAGGACACGTTTGATGAAATTCAGGGTTTGCATCAGTTGAAACGATGCCAAACAAGTGACAGTCTGGATGAATATATGGATGAATGTTGTCGACTGAGTGAGGTAAGGGCATATCTACATTATGATGTATCTGATTGTGATTATGCTGTTATCTGCTATACAGTATATATACAGTTTAAGAAATTAATCTATGTTTTTTTTATCAAAAAAAGTATTGAAAAAAACAGGTCAACAAGGCAAAGTGCTACAGTACATGCAGTTTCCATACAAATAATTAGAATTATGTTATAAATAAACCTTTTTCTAGCTTTGGAGAAAGTTTAAAGGGATAAAACCTATGTCAGATATTTATTTATGCTGGTTTTTCTACTTTCAATCCCAATGACATTAAAGTAATTATGGAAATCTCACAAACAGGGGCAGTTAGCAACGAAAACCTAGTAGACATTACAACCCCACACAATCAACAGTGCTTTTATTGCTGTATGTTTTCCATTGGAGAGAGTTTCTTCAATTCTTGCCTCAATAACAAAACAGCAAGTGAAGGGATTTCTCCAGGGTTGCTAACCCTTCCACTTACTTACGTAAAAAGTTTAGGCTACTGAAACCTGTTATTGATCTGACTCCAGTAAGATAAATCGAATTGATCGCTTTGGGATATTGATTTATTAAGACTGTTTACTAAAGGATTTGAGTATGCTCATGCAACAAATTGTGTGGATTTATTTTTCAATTCTCAAATCATGTGCAGATGAAATACGCAAACACGGATTTTCTTCGATGGTAGGATAATTCAATCTTCTCACATTTTATTGTGTCAGCATTCTCAAATCTTTTATTAAAACAGCCTCATTGTGTCAAAGTGCTAGGATCAGTTGTTTTTTAGTGTCATATATCCAAGTGTCAATAGTAGAAACTATTTGTAGTGCCTCATAGTAACATGATATATTAAAACTCTAACTTCTATTTTTTTGGCACAGAACCGAATAAGATTGACGGTTGTAAGAAATCCTGTGATAGCTCTCACTTGTGACATGTTCATACATGAAGCTTGTTGCATACAGTGACCTAAATTTCATTTAGTAGATAGCCTAAGGCCAAGAATAGATTTTTGAACTCAACTTGAGATCCCTTTTTAGACTGTACAGGTGTGGAAAAGAGTGTATCATAATCTATTTATGCAGCCATTGCAGCTGCTTGACTTGAGTGATGTGTTTGGACCTTTGTTAGAATTTGCTATAAGGCAAAGCCTGCAGGTCTAGGTGTTGTTGCTGCTGATCTCTTTGATTCTGCTGATACAGAAAATTGCATATCCCGCACAATTGGATTTTTTTTTAAAGTCATTTCACATTCAGAAACGCCATAGGCCAATAAGGCCAAAACATATTTTTATTGCTTTAGACACTCTCACAGGACAGTCATAGGAAATCCAAATTTTATGGTTGTCACCTGAACAAAAGGGGAGGGACAATTTTCCAATAGGGTCATCGGTTTCTGTGACAACTCTTTCAGAGGAGATTTCTCCCCATCTTTAAAGAGATTTCCTCAAACATCCTGTTATGTCTCTGGAACAGGAAGTAAAAAAGACACAAACAGCAAAAGAAGTAATTGACTGTGGCTGCCCTTTCCCTCTCTATATAAAAACAAAAAAAGAAGAAAAACTGATGGAAAAAAAGGTGTAGATTTCACTAGCAGAAACATCATTTTACATCTGTTTTCATGTGCATTTCAGTGAGCTTTATACATGTTGCAGATTTTTCTGCTCAGAAAAAAATCTGTAGGTGATACTGGTATTGTGGTGTGAACAGGGTACATAAAGGACAATTGTTTTCTTTGACACTTGAAGAACATGTGCAGAAAAACTCACATCTGTATACATGGTGTGAACGATATATGATTTAATGGAGATCATCCACAGGTAAGGTATGTACCCATCATATAGGCAATTTAAAGCCTAATTTTAGTTAAAACAATAACAAAAACATTAATAATATTCAACACAAGCAACATTAATTACCATCGGTGTGATGTGATGAGCTTTTGCTACTGTCTTGTGGTTTAGTAGAAATCTTCATACTCTGATGTTCCCCCACCCTACAATCTTCTGGTGCAGTAGGGCATAATAGAACTAGGGAGCTGTGACAGGCACTCATAAAGAGTTCACCACTATGCCTGCCCTTTCCACCCAGCTCCTCCATTCATAGAAATTGTACTACAGCTTCTAGAAATAAAACTGAATTCATGAATGGAGTGGGCAGACCTTTCAGTTATCTGACCATCCTCAATTCATAAATCGTGTTTCATTTCTAGAAGCTGTAGTACAGCTTCTGTGAATGGAGCAGCTGGGTGGAAATGGCGGGCAGAGTTGGGCACTCTTGATGAGTGCCTATCATAGCTCCCTTAGTTCTGTTAACCCCTGCTACCCCAAACAATTATGGCTGTGAGGGGTGGGGTGGTATCAAAGGATGAAGATTTCTACTAAACCTGAAGGCAGCAGCACAAGGGACACATTGCATTGAAGGTGAGTAATGTCCCTTGCACTGATTATTAGCGTTTTTGTTTTAACTACACTTAGGCATTAACATTTCTGGAGCAAGTTCATACTTTATCAACACAACATAAAATAATTTGCTTCACAGAGGTGTCCAAAGTAAAATGTCCTCCTGTAAACTTTATGTTTTATGTGGGCCACCCAGCACCAGAACCAATTAATGCCATCTTGTGATAAAATATAGGTCATCAAGCTGTCATCATATGTTCCATGTCTGTATGAAAATGTAAAGCTCAAGAAACAATGATAACATGCCACTGGCAGCCTATATTTTGCAGATAAGTTACAGGGTTAGGATAGTATCATGAGACTGTTTGCTGTAATAAGCACCATATCTATCAAAAAACAATGCTGCTGACTAATCAAAAGATTTCTTTGATCAAGTAGTGCTTGGATCTCTAGCCAGCTGTCTGAGTCTTTTAATGTCTTGTATAGTAAAACCTTGCGTTCAAATTAGCAGGTTGTTGAAATAACCACCTCTCCTTCCCCTGTAATAATTACAGTCAGCCGGCAGTGTGATTTAACAATAGTGGCTACATAGCATAACAAGCATGGCACACGTAATGCCTCTTAGTGTGGTCTGAGTGATAAAAAAAGATTTTTGGAAAGACATTTCACAGAGCAGTATCTGCGTCCAGTTTTGGAAGGTAGAAGGAACGTTGTCCCAGTATGGAGAGGCAAACTAACACTACTGAGGTTGATAATAGTTAATCATTGGCAGCTAGGCCTGTTGAATAAGTGCATTCTGGACATCTGACAAACCATGTCTTTTTGACAAAAGAAAATATTTGAGCTTCTCAGATAACTGTAGTTATTGTAACCAGCAGAATGTGGCAGAACGCTGTGTTGTATGGAGCTTACTCCGCTGTTAAAGTAAACCTGAACTTTTTTGGCTTAGAGAAACAAAGTGATCTGGTATCATGAAGTTGGCATAGTGCCTTGTTTAATATACTCATCCCAGGCCTGGACTTGCAATTTGGCAAGACTGGCATTAGAACTGAGCTGTCTGTGAACTATTGTGAACTAGTCTTAGCAAACATGGACTGCTCTTGGTAAGTGGGTTTCCTATGTAAACAAAATGTCAATTTCTTTGTTTAAAATAATTTGCTAAATAAACGATTAATGTTTATGATTTTTAGGCGGTGTTAAGCAGCCCATAGTTGACTCAATCCCCCATCCACACACTTGATGTAGATGGCGGAATCCTCCCCACTAAACTATTGTATTCTGATAGGGAAAACCAAACAGGGTAATTGTATAGAAGTCGATTGACTTCTGTACAACCACAGCCCTGTACCTGGATCAAAATTCACCCAGTCCCTGTTGAATCAGCCAATTTGTGATCCTTGTGTGACCAGCTTTACTGTCCTTTCACATGGAGCAGAGTCCACTCCAATCATCAAGGGATCTGTGAACAGATCCCCTGCTAAATCAGAGCCGAACAGGAAGGATGTCAGGTTTTTCTTACATTTGTGGCTGTTCAGTTTGTGTCCAGCAGACAGGGGTGGACCCGAGACAGCTTTATGGGTGTAAACGGACTCCACTCTCTATTTACATCAAGCTACCTCCAATCTGTCACGTTTAGGTCTCTAAAAATGCCAAAGGATGCAGTCTTTTTCTGTTTTATTTTCTGGATCTAGACAGATTCAGGTGTAGTCCAATGTAAAGCGACACAAGTCCATTTATGTCTATCGGACATAGGGCTGCATGGAGCTCCTTATCAGGTCTGGCTGAAAAACTGATGGACTTGATTAGAAAGCCTGTGTATAAGGAATTCAGAATCTGTCAGGTATTTTTTGCCATAACCTATTTGGGACTTTCTGCTCACTTTTATTCAAATAGGATATTATAGAAAATCTCTTCTCTTGGAAAATCAACAAAACAAATGTTACAATTACTTGGAAAAGTGCTGACTATGCCCGTCCTGTCTGCCCTCTACTCTATTCATAGAAGCTGTACTATTGATTTCCACAATGAAAAGCACTTTATGAATGGAGGGGGGACAAATAAATAAAAAGTCCACTTCTCCATTCATATAGTGCTTTTCATTGAAGAATAGCTATAGTATAGCTTCTATAAATGGAGCACATTTGAATTCTGCCTGTGAGAGGTGTAGCTGCTGATGTTAACCCCTGCAACACTGAATTATCACAGCTGCGGAGATATCTAGGGACAGAGGGCTGAAGATTTTAAGCAACACAGCAGCAAGCAGCAGAATAGACTCTTGATTTAAACATTAACCTCTATAGTGGGGCCGCATAAGCAATGAAAACCTAATAGAGGCTATAATTCCTATAATTCTACTCTACACAAACTAGAAAAAAAAGTTTTGGCTATACATACACTTTAAGGATAAGGTCCAAAGAAGGAAAGTTGCAAAGTAGCAAATTAGAGCTTCCCTCTACCTAAATGTTGCTGAAAGGATTACGTTTCAAGAAAAAGCTTTTGGAGTCATGTACATTGTAGGTTTGTAAATGCACTGACTTCCGCCATTAGGCTAGATCCAGCATTGTACCTCAATCCATACATTCCTGTTTAAGAGCTCAAAAGC